CGCTTGGCCCTTGCCTTGCCGAGGGGACACCGTATGCAGCAAGAGGGGCTGAAGGGCCAGTCTGGAGCAGATTGAGTTCGGGTAAGCGAGCTGCAGCGCACGGGAGCACTGCGGAGATGCGGGGCACAGCATCGGAGCGGCGTGGGATGCAGCCAGCCTCTCCTCTCGCGGTCTCCACCACCAACGGCGCCTTGCCAACGGTGAAGGGTCACCGAGAAGGACACGCTGCCTGGGGGTCCAGCAGGACAGCCCGGTGGCTCCAGCCACAGCAACCAAACAGCGTTCAGGTTTTCCAGCGAAGGAGCGTGGGCTGGATAGGTCACCAGCAGCTCAGCTTCAGGGCTGGAGAACAAGGAACTGGGAGCCCAGTCCCGGCCCAGGCTGCCACTCCCGGACCCCTGCTGGGGTGGGAGCCTGTAGCCCAACCCGGCACATCCAGAAGCACTGACAGGGAATTTTCCAGGTGTGGAAGGGATTCGGGCTGAGGCCTGGGAGCAGAGACACGCACTGCCGCCCGCAAGGAAGGCCACAGGAGCTATGGGCTGAGCCGGGCAAAACAGGTTCAGCTAAATGGGAGGAAGAGGGAGAGCACTGGGGAAGAGTCACACCACTACGAACCAACAAGCAGCTGCCTTTGAGCCCCTGCGTACCAAGCATGCTTCCCACGGCAGGCACAGACCACCAGGCAGAGGAGAGCAGCTTGAATAACAAAAGCCGGGCAGAAGCGTAAGGTGAGCAGAGGGTGAAGAAGGAGCCTCCTGTCTGAGGCACAGACCACACCTCGGGCTACGTGCGCTGACAGCACCCAGGCAACACCTACACGCTTCAGACGTGGCGTCACCCAACTGCGGGAGCGGGGAGGAGCCGCCTTTCGTTTTCAGTAAGTTTCCTCCCAACGGCTCTTTCGGAGAGGGCACGGTCTGGTGTCTCCAGCCAGACCTTGGCTGCTCCACCTCCATCCTCCCGAAGGGAGAGTCTGCTCTCCCCTCCCGCCCCACCAGCCCGCTCTCCAGTATGGCAGGGGAGAGCCCCAGCCCTGTGGGCCACACGGACAAACGCCGGCTTCGGGACACGGGGCTGGGGACGCAGCGCTGCGGTGCGGGGGCTGCTCTCTCCGGAGCCGAGCCCCCGTGGTGCCAACTCCCTCCAGCCACGCAGAATCACAGGCCCAGCACCACGGTCAGGCTGCCCTGGGCTCGCTTCCCCCACGCTGCCCTGGCAGAAGTCACCGTCCTTCCCGGTGACAGCAAAAAGCTTCCTTCGTTTCGTAAGGAATCGGCAAGGTGCATTCCTGGATTTGGCATGAACAGGCACAGGGTTAAGCATCAGAAATGAATGAAAAAGCACAGCATTTCTCTTAGAATAATTTATTAAATACAGCATTAAAATTTGTATTTATGAATTCAATCATTAAAAACAAAACTTCATATCAAATATATATATATATTCAGGGACAATGACAATCATTCTATCAACATCGGTGCGTGTTGTGCCAGCACTGCTCAGAATGGCACCTTCGCTACGCTACCCTTAAAGCGGTTCAACACTTACAAAATAAAATCAAATCCAATAAAAAGCATTTGCAAAGAAAGAGTGCAAAGCAGGGCTTGTCCCCAGCTGCCTGCCAGGGCTGCGCTGCGGCGGGCTCGGCCGCAGTGCTCCCACCAGGTCTGCGGGGTATCGCCCGCCCAGCGCGAGGAGCCTGCAGACCGCCGCTCAGCCGTGGCCCAGGGGTGCAG